CCGGGCGCTTCCGATTTCGCCCCCGCGCCGCGCGGGACCGAAGCGCACGAAGATGTCCGCGAGGACGCCCCTGCCCACGGTGAACGAGCGGGACGCCGAGAACGTGAGTGGCGCGGGCGGGCCGCGGGGTCGTGGCGCGCGGCGGTCCGCGCGGTGCCCTGGAAGGAAGTTTCGGCGGCTGTCGCTCCCTGCGCCCTGCGCTGCGGACACGCGCGGGTGCGGAGGCTGAGCTCCCGCCGCGCGGGGCCCGGCGAGTCCGTGAGGGCACGCTCGGGATTTCTTCGCGTGGGTCTTTCAAAAAAGTGCCGGGAACGGCCCCGCTGGGGAGTGCCGGCTGGTCCGGGCGGCCCCGCCGAGGCGGTCTCTGGCTGCGCCCGGCTCCCGCTCTCCTTCAGCACTAGGTTGGAAAGCGCTCCAGTTGTTGGTCGGGGTCCGTGAGTTGCAAAGACGCTTCCCTGGCCTTTCATGATCAGTGTTATGAGGTCATTGCTGGCAAGAAAATGCCCTCTCCTAGCGAAAGCTTCCTTGCTCTGAGTGTTTTCCTGCTTTTCATTGTGGCCCAGTGGTATCAAATGCCTCGGTTTTAATCTTCAAAATGCCACTTGCTTGCTGGATAGCTATTGGGTAATTTAATCTGTGTAAACCTTACTCTAAGCATCCGTTTAGTACGTTAATGTATAGTATTAAATGCTCTTTAACCTGGTATATGGTACGGTGGTATGTTTCTCAACCAGGGATGGATTAGAAAATTACATTGAGTGACAGAAAATCTCAGACTAACACGTCTGTGGATTTCTTTCATTCTTTTGAGACAGCCTGTATGTTGCTTTGGCTGTTCCTGAACTCCTGGGCTCAAGTGAACCTCCCTCATAGTTGGGAGTCCGCATGTGTGCCGCTAGGTCTTCATGTGATCTTTTTCTAATGGTCTTTTTGAAGAAACCTGTTTCTGATCTGATCGTTGGCCAGTTCTTTTACTACCCTGAAGAATGGAACAAGCAGAAACGTGGTTTGATTGGCTTTGCTCATTAATCTGCACTCGGAGAATCAAAATCTTGTATTGAATTAGAGCAGGCATAATTTGTAAACGAAAACCACAAACAACCTTAGCAGATTTGGTCTTTTTTTTTTTTTTTAGGGTTTTGAGACAGTCTTGCTATGTAGTTCAGGCTAGTCTTGAACTCGCAGCAATCCACCTTCCTTGGCTTCCCCATTTTTCTCGTTATTTGAGATAAGGTCTCACCATATAGTTGAGGCTGGCCTCAAACTATGTAGTCCTGGCTAGTCTTCAACTCAAGGTAATGCTCCTGCCTCAGCCTCCCTGTGCTGGGATTATAGATGTTCACTCTCATACTGGGCTAGCAGATTTCTCAAAAGAAAAGATTTTTGTTGGGTCTTCTTTTAATATACGTTGCAGTGAGGGAGATTAGGAGAAGAAATGTGTTATTTTCAGTAAGGAATACCCGGATTGTTTGTGATTATCATTAACTGACTTGGTTCATTATTCAGTTGTTCTTTGCTTAATTTGTTGAGTACTTTTGTAAACTTTTTTTTTTTTTTTTTTTTTTTTTTGTCTTTTTGGGACAGGTTTTTTTTTTTTTTTTTTTTTTTTAGTACCAGGAATCAAACTCAGGACCTTGCACTTGCCGCGCAGGTGCTTGTACCACTGAGCTATGTCCCTGGCCATAATTTTTGTTTTGTATGTTGTTAGAATTACTTCTTTTTTTGAAAGCAACCTAGAAGCCAGGTGTATTGGCACATACTTGTAATGCCAGTCCTCTGGGAGGCTAAGGCAGAAGGATTGCAAGTTCAAGCCCAGTCTGGGCAATTTATGGAGACACTGTCTCAAATTTTAAATAAACGGGGATGGGTAGGATGTAGCTCAATGCAAAAGTCATGAGTTCAGTCCCCCTTACTGCGAAAAAGAGCCACCCAGAACAAAACCCCAGCATGTGGAGTGTGTTTTTTCTTAATTTTCATGTAATATATTTAAAAGGAAGTTTTGACCAAAGTTAAAGTCGGGTTTGTGGCACATCATTGCGTTAACTTCCCTTGCTATTTTATCTTTCATCCTTGTTTTGGCATGTTCTGGAAGTAGCTGTGTGTCTGTACAATGTGACGCCTGTGTCAGTGTTACATCTCAGGTTCATGTTTGGCATAGTGGTATTTATCACTATACAACTAATGTTCAGTTTCCTGTCAGTTGACTGGTGAGTGTATGAGAATGAACATGAACACTCAGCCTATTGAGAAGCTCCTTTTTTAAAAAAAGAAAAAAAAAAACTCTTTTGTTGGTCAGGTTTATCAAGATTTAACGTTCATGCTTTTTGAGTGTACAGTCTGATGAGTTTGACAAGTGCATAGTCATGTGACCACCACCACAGTCAAGATAGAACGGTTCCATCCCCCAGACAGGTCCCTTGTGGCCACCCCTGGTGATCGTTGATCTCTTTTCTGTCTCTAGTTTTATCTTTTTTACAGTGTAAGTGGAGTCATAGAGTATACAATCCTTTAGGTTTTATTTCTTTCTCTTGGTGTAAAACTTTTTTTTTGTTTCTGTAAA